TGAACTGGAACCCAGATGCAGAGAAGGATGAGTGAAGAGCACAGGGGTCCAGACCAAGCTGGTGAAACCCACAGAAACAGCTGACCTGAACATCCGGGAACTCTTGCTCCCCATTTCTTTTTTTTTTTTTAACCGATCACTCTACCTAGTTGGGTTGAGCCCACCCTATTTCATGCTCACACTTTTTCTGATCCAATTCTTTCTTCCTGCCTTGAGGCCCATAAGCCTGGCTTTTGGGGGGAAGGGGCCCTAGGACAGCTTCATATGCAGCAGCCTCACCAAACTATTACTATAGGGGCTATTTTCCTTCCTAGTTAATGTACCACCAAAAACATACCTTCATGTATAAACAAGTTAGTCAAACTACACTTTAAGTACACTTTGTTCTTCTGAAAGAATCTCTGAGCTTGAATATCTAAATAACATAGATAAGACAAAGATACTTTCTTAATCTGGATGTATATCAGCAGCAAACATTAGTTACCACTTTGGGTCCCTACCCTCACATAAATTAGCATTGCAGTACCAGAAATGTGTCTATGCAGCCCAAAGGTGCTTGGACACACTGACCTACTGATAGTGAAGTCATGAGGACTGGGGCTTAGCTCAGTTGCCGAGCACGCTTGAGGTCCTGAATTTTCCACTAAATGCCACAAACCCCAAAACCTCAAACCAAAACAACAACAACAGAAAAAACACAAAATTCTTCACATTAATGAAACAATCAGTATTTCTAACTTACTGTGCAATACCTAGATTTTTAGGCTGAGATTCTGATGGTTTTCTAAAACAAGAGCCAACAGTATCTCCTGAACATAAGACATAAATCAACCGACCTTTAATCTGTAAAATCAAAGAGGTTGTAATAAATTCTAAAAATCAAACACATATACAAATAAAGTTGCTGGGTACTGCCCCACAAACTTGTGAAGCTAAGGCAGGAGTCCCTGAGAATGGTGGTTTGGGGTCACGCTGGGTCACCAAACAGCAAGACTCCTTTAGAAAGAAAAAACAAATAACTGAACTATTAACCTTGTTCTTCCTTAACTAGTTTCTGGGATAATGCAAAGATCTGGTGCTGGGGTAGGATCCGGCATTTCACAGGTGTTCAACCCTGCTTCCCCCTGGGCCGAAATACAGCCCCCAATGGTTTTCTATGTGAAGAGGGATGCCCGGGTCAGACCACTCTAACCGCAATCCTAGAAACAGGTGCACACTTTACCTGACATTAAGTTTCTGAAGATTGTCCAGTTCTCTTATAGCTGAAGGAAGAGATGTCAGCTGGTTATCATGTATCTAAAATGATAAGACAAAGTCAACATTCTCATAATTTGCAATATTTGAGCTTTCCCACTGAACAAAATTACTCAAACTCAATGGCAATGTGTTGGATGATTAGTAATCTGCTGTGTGTGCTGACCAAACTGCTGCTCAGAGACTGTGAAGTAACAAGTTATTAAACATTACCAAAATGAAGAGACAAACACAAACTTTTCCTGAGTAAGCTTTCAGAAAACTCAGAGGCAGCATGGCTCTGATGGTCTGCTCATGTCACAACAGAATATACATGAGCAGGGAGAAGAGCTTTACATTCTTACAGATTCATACTGTCTTTACAACAGAAAGAACCTCAGAGTACAAGGCTCTTTGTTATTTTACAGACAAAACAATAACACCTCCAAGAACAGCACTACTTATATCCATCATTTCCACACATGGACAAGTACACTAAAGTCTGCAGATTCTGGAATAAATCCTTTATACTTCACTAATCACATGATAGGACAACTTGCACTATAGAACAGACTCAATTAGAAACACAAAAAATTCAGTTGAACAGTTTCAGTCCGAGGGCAAGTTACAAAACAAGAATGCAAAAGGCCCCTAAGTCCTGTACTTGCTTTAGTGATTGGAATAAAAGGTAACAAGGAAAAAAAGTATGAGAAGCCAAGTGCCAGTTCTATTTGCACACACTGACTCATTTAATCACAGGACTCCACCAGGCCTGTGGACATGGAGACACAGAGCCAACCTTCCGAGTCAGACTGTTATTTATCTTGCATTCTACAAGCTCAGAAGGTTTCCTGTTTAGCAAAGCATAAATTTAGCTCCTCCATTTTGCCTAAATTAAGTCTTTCCAACTAAGATACCATAATTATAGTTAACTTACATCCAGGACAGTGAGGGCAGGCAAGAGTCGGAGGTCATCAGAGAGAGACTGAAGCTTATTGCTGGAAATGATGAGTTTGGTCAGATCTGTCTGCTCCCACCATCGTTCAGTAGAACTGAATGAAAGATTCTGATTAGCCTCCTCAGGAACGTCCACATTTATTCTCCAAACACATTGAGGGACTATCTCCACCAGCACCACACCAAGGAGAAAGGGAAAGAGATAAAAATGAAGTGAACTCTAAGTGACACACTCATTGAACACTCAGCTTACAAATGGACCCAAAGAACTCTCAGGGCCTGAGGGGACAGCTCAGTGAGTGTCTTAGTTACCTTTATATTGCTGTGACCAGGGTACCTTATTAAAACAAAGTGTTTAATTTGGGGTATGGTTTCAGAGGGTCAGAGTTCATGATGGTGAAGTAAATGAGAGCTTGAATCCTGAGCCTCAGCCATGAGGCAGAGAAAGGCACACTGGGAATGCAGGAGTCTTCTGAAACCTCACAACCCACCAGCAGTGACATGCCTTCTCTAGCAAGGCCACCTCATCTCCTACTCTACCAACTGAGGACCAAGTATTCAAACGCATGAGTCCATGAGGGACATTCTCATTCAAACCATCATAGTGGGTAAATGCATTTGTTGTCAAGCCTGGCCACATAAGTTTGAACTCTAGAATATACATGGTGGAAAAACCAACTCCTGCAAGATGTCCCCTGACTTGACAGTAAGTGTGCAGATAAACAAATAAATGTAAAAAAATATTTAAATTCCAATAAACCAAACATAAATAAATTACAGTGTAAATTCATTTTATTGGGGAAAAAACAAACAAACAAACAAACAATCAGACTGCAATGTGCATTTTACATGAGACCCTGAGTTTGATTCCTAGCACCAAAAACACAAAACAGAACACTGAAATCTCCTAGCAACTCTGTGAGATGGGTGCTATCACTATTCCCATCTTGTAGGTGAGACGAGTGAGGCATCAAGAAAATGAATCCAGGGTTCAACAGATGTCAGCTCTGCCCTCTAAACCCTGTGGAGCCACTTCCTATGATAGCCCACAAAGGGTATTGGACCCTAGTACCACTCTCCATTTTACAGACATAATTCTGATTCTTACCCACTACACACAACTGTTATCCTACTGAGGTAACTCCTATAATTTAGTGAGTAGAACTGTCACTATGAAGAGGAAGCTCGGCCAGAGTGCTTGTCTCCCGGCAGGGCCCTAGGTTCTATTCCTAGCACTGCTTGGATCTTTAGGAAGAAGCTTTTAACAGGGGGTAGCAAAACTGCTTCTGCACTTGTGTAACCTAACTGTATAAAGAGACCCTTCACCTGGGGACAAAGGTAGAGCTACACGAAGGCTGGCACAGAACTTGTAATGCCACTCAAGACAATCTCTGTTTATGCCCTGCTTTCACTGTCGTCCAAATTTACCAGAGACTCCCCAGTGGGACAGTGAAATGGAGGCTTGCCTCTTTATGAGCCAGTAGCGTCAAAATAAGCAATACAGATTCTAATCCCACAAGACAAGCAGAAGAAAAGCCTTGGAAATTCAAACAGAAAAAAGATATGGGGAAAGAACAGAAAGTTGTTCCAATATCTCATCTTTTTTTTTCCTTCCTGCAAGTTTAGTAGGATTTTTACTATGCTATATCTTAATTTTGTGTGTTTCTGTTATTTTTTTCCACACATTAATCTAACTTGTTTATACTTTTTTTCCCCACTTGGGAGCAATATTTCAGTGCTGCCTAGTTTTAAGTCAATTTGACACAAGCTAGAGTTGCTGGAGAGGAGAGAGCCGGTTGAAAAATGCTTCAATAAGGTTTAGCTCTAGATAGGCCTGTAGGGTATTTTTCTTAGAGATGGATGTGGCAGGGCCCAGCTCATTGTATGTGGGGCCACCTTTAGGCAGGTAGTCCTGGGTTCTATAAGAAAACAGGCTTAGCAAGTCATGAGGAGCAAGCAGTAAGTAGCAACCCCCCACCCCCATTTGTGCATCAGCTCCTACCTCCAGATTCCGGTCAATGTTTGAGTTCCTACCCTGACTTCTGTAGATGACTATGGAAGCACAGGCAAAGTAAACCCCTTCCTTCCCAACTTTGCTTTTCGTGTTTCATCACAGTAATAGTAACCCTAACAATTTCTTTTCCCGCCTAAGATGTCTTTTCCTTTTTTAGTTCCATCCCCACCTCCCATTTATGTATTATTTTTTTACCTTATTGCTTTATCCCCCCAAAATATTCTTGGGCTGGGTAGATGGCTCAGCAAGTAAGAGTGCTTACTGCACAAGCAAGAGAATCTGAGTTCAAATCCCCAGAAGCTAAGTAAAAAGCCTAGCTTTGTCCTGTCCTAGTAGCCTCAGTGCTGTGGGGAGCAGAGACAAGAGGACTGCTTCAATGAGAGAACATGTCTCAAAGGAATAATGAGGAAAGTGGCAGCAGGACAATCAACATCCTTTGGCCTTTTCATGCACACATACTATATGTAATCTCTCCTCCCCCTTCTCTCTCTCTCTCTTACACACACACACACACACACACACACACACACACACACACTCAGTTTGTGTTTCATTCTTCTCCCTATATTTATCTAATTTTGCTCGTGATTTTTTTTCTATAAGAAAATCTTTTTTTAAATTTTGTGCTCTTTTCCATAGCATCCTTTTCTATTTACCTCTTCCTTCAGCTTATTGTCTCCTCTTCCCTTACTCTTCCTTATCCCATTCATTCACTATGTTCATACCTACGTTACATAATTTCTAATCTCAAAAGACATTCTACAGCACTTTGCCATCTTTGGTCCTATGACCATTGTGCTGGATAGTTTTATGTCAACCTAACACTAATCAAAGTCATCTAAGAAGAGGGAACCTCAATTAAGAAAATGCCTGCATAAAAACCAGCTGTAGGCAAGCTTATAGGGCATTTTTTTAAATTAGTGACTGATGGGGAGTGGCCCAGTTCACTGTGAGTAGTTCCCACCCTAGACTACTGGTCTAGGGAGAGCAAGCCATGAGGGTCAAATCAGGAAGCAGTACCCATCCTTGGCCTCTGCATCAGCTCCTGCCTCTAGGTTCCTTCCCTGACTGTCTTTGATGATGCTAAATAAACTCTTTCCTCTCGAACTTGCTTTTGGTCATGGTGTTTCCTTACAGCAATAGCAACCCTAACTACAATAACCAGTGACGGTATATTAGTGAGCAATAACTGATTTTCAATGTATGTGTATCTTTATGGCTTAATGGTTTTGGAGTCACAACAGTCTGTTTCTTCCTTGATGAGGGGTACTGGAGACTTAGCCTTCAAGAAAGTCTGTTTAACATAAAGGCACCCTTCAAAACTGCAGACTAGATACACAAACCAACAGATATGCAAACTGCAACACAGAGCTATATAAAAAGAGAGAGAGAGAGAGAGAGAGAGAGAGAGAGAGAGAGAGAGAAAGAAAGAAAGAAAGAAAGAAAGAAAGGCAAGGAAATAAACCCCTCAAAAATGGCAACTGCTCAGGCGGCGGTTGCTCACGCCTTTAATTCCAGCACTTGGGAGGCAGAAGCAGGCGGATCTCTGTGAGTCTGAGACCAGCCTGGTCTACAAAGCTACACAGAAAAACCCGTCTCAAAAAAATTGCAACTGCACTTCATAGATACTGAAATAGGCAAAATGCCACCTGAAACTTTAAAATTTTCTGGTAGGAAATTATAAATAAATTAAAAGATACAAACAAGCAGATAATTTCAATCTAGGCCTTAGAGAAGAAAGTCAGCCAAACAGATGAAAACATTAACAATATGAATGGAAAAGTTGGCAACATGGAAGAAAAATTCACAAAGGATATTGAGATCAAGATTTAAAAAGAAAAAAATCAATTAGCATAGTCAAGACAATTCCCCATAGACCCACCAGTGCTGACCCTAGAAAAATAGTTTCCTATTATTGTCCCAGTGCAGTGCAAGAGGCTTCTCTACAGTGGTATTGGTCTTTTTTTTTCTTTTTAAATCAACTATTGACTGAATGTCCTCATCCTGAAATTATCTCAATCAAACAAACCAGTACCTCATCTTCAATTCAAATTCCCTGGGATACTGAGGATATGGGTAGAATTAAGCCACATTCTTGTCCAAAATACAACGCAAATGGCTGCTAACAAGGTTCCCAACACAGTCCTTAATTCGCTATGGAACCTCAAGAGCAAGACCTCCACTGTCGGCATTTCTGTCAACACTGTTATCTTCTAACTTCCAGTAAAGAACAGCCCATTAGGCTCTGCCCACAGCATTCAGTGTCTTTTCCTAGACTTACTTCCAAAGTCTTCCACATCCCAGCCATAAAATAGTTCAAATGTCATGGGGAACCACATAGTCGTTTACCACAGAGATGATTCCACTTCCAGGGTAGCAATTTCTATCCTAGTCTTCCTTCCAGATACTGTGGTAAAATACCGTAAGAAAGCCCCACTCGACAAGTTTATTTTAGCTTGCAATTTCATTTGCAGGCCATCACTGCAGGGAAGTCAAGGAGGAAGTAAACTAGTCATAGTAACTTGTAAGGTAGTCGTATCACACTCAAGAACAGAGAGAAACATGAATCAAGACATGCACACTTGTTTTTTGTTTTTTTTACACAGCTCATTCTTACACAGTCCAAGACCCAAATCAGGCAATGGTACAGCCCACAGTGGGTAGGGTTTTCCTACACCAATTATGAATCAAGATGGGTCCTCCCAGACATGCAACGAAACAGGATCTAGATAATCCCTCATTGACGGTATCAAGTAGACACAACTAATCACTGCATTCAACAAGCATGTTTTTTCGCTTGGTCTGCCTTATAGATACAAAAGCGCACTCTTAGAAGCCAAGTAGGAGATTTTAACCTGTGCGGGTAGGAAAAAATATTACAGAAAGAATGCTTTGCTTCCTATTCCCCTCTCTCTGTCCCCATCCACTCCCACCAAGCACTCATACCACCACAAAGGTATGTATCATTAGAGAAGACTGCAGAACTGTGCTTGTCAGCCAGTTCATGGGTTTCTCAAGAGGTTCTCAGATCCATACACTCTGTGGCATGTATCCTGAATAGTGACTTAGGAAACATGATCACTATCTGTCACTGGGATTCTTCAAGGCCTGAAAAAGGAGGGTCTTGACAGAGAAGGGAAGTGTTTATTCTAAGCTCACACAGGGGAGCTGGTTAAGACTAAACTGAGAGAAAGGTGATGCCCGAAGTACCTCCCTGTCATATATAGAGGAACCAAAAATTAAAATTAATAAAAGTTTAAAAACTTAGGCCCTGAAAAGGGAACATCTAATGGTAAAGAAAAATTTAACTCCTTAAATCAGGAGCGCCATGGCTGGCACCTGATCCCCTGCTCTCAGAGAAGGGAAGGTAACTGTCCACCACTCCTGTTAACATTCCTTTGTTAACTGCTGGTCATAAAGAACTCCGGCCCAAGGGATAACTGACCGACCCCGTAACCCTGCAAGCCCATGCCCTGTCTTATCTCACTCAAATGTATCTCACTTAAAATATACAGCTACTGCTTGACTCTGTACTTTGTATGACCTGAAGTAACCATGGAAACTCTGAAATTGGTGGCCTTCAACCTTATGGTCTGCACCTTTAAAAGCTTCTCTTTCAGGCTGGTTAGCATCTCATTTGCCTGCCAGGCAATGAGATCCTAGCTGACCAGCTTGAAATAAACAGAAACCTTTTGCTTTTGCATCAGAAGTGTCGACTCCTTGGGTTAGCGTCTGGGCTCCGTGAACCTGGCACACCAATATCATATAGCTAGCTAACTCCCAAACTAAGGTGTGTATCCCACGTTGGGCATCAGCCAGGTGCCACAGGAGACGCAGGAGCCGGCGGGGGTGCACAGGGGACCCTGCAGCTCGGCCTCCGAGGAGGAGGAGGATGCTCGCACGCGCTCCCTCCTCACCTTCCCCGAGGTTCCTTCCCGCCAGGTTGAGCTGCCCGCTGCTCCGCGCCGCCTTCAGCAGGCCCTGAGGGACTGAGGGGCCGCTGTCCTTGCCCTCCCGGTGGAATCCAGCACGAGGGTCAAACCCGGTGGCTCTCCGCGGGCGCGACATTGTCAAAAACCTCAACCTCAGCAGTCGAGCCCCCCGCTTGCTGGCGAAGCTCTGTTTGTTTGTTTGTATTTTTTTTTCACTTTATTTATGAAGCTGCGGTGTCTCTCGAGCATCTTGGGCTTCGCCCGCTGCCCGCTCGCAGGACCAGCGCTGCGCAGTCGAGCCCCCCGCTTGCTGGCGAAGCTCTGTTTGTTTGTTTGTATTTTTTTTTCACTTTATTTATGAAGCTGCGGTGTCTCTCGAGCATCTTGGGCTTCGCCCGCTGCCCGCTCGCAGGACCAGCGCTGCGCAGTCGAGCCCCCCGCTTGCTGGCGAAGCTCTGTTTGTTTGTTTGTATTTTTTTTTCACTTTATTTATGAAGCTGCGGTGTCTCTCGAGCATCTTGGGCTTCGCCCGCTGCCCGCTCGCAGGACCAGCGCTGCGCAGTCGAGCCCCCCGCTTGCTGGCGAAGCTCTGTTTGTTTGTTTGTATTTTTTTTTCACTTTATTTATGAAGCTGCGGTGTCTCTCGAGCATCTTGGGCTTCGCCCGCTGCCCGCTCGCAGGACCAGCGCTGCGCAGTCGAGCCCCCCGCTTGCTGGCGAAGCTCGCTCTCTCTCTCTCTCTCTCTCTCTCTCTCTCTCTCTCTCTCTAATTTTTTTTCACTTTATTTATGAGGCTGCGGTGTCTCGCGAGCATCTTGGGCTTCGCCCGCTGCCCGCTCGCAGGACCAGCGCTGTGCAGTCGAGCCCCCCGCTTGCTGGCGAAGCTCGCTCTCTCTCTCTCTCTCTCTCTCTCTCTCTCTCTCTCTCTCTCTCTCTCTCTTCCCTCTCTCCTTCTCTCCCTCACCCCCCTCTCCTTTCCCCCACTGGTTTATGGACGATAGCCCCAGTGTAATGGAGTTTTAAACGTCACTTCTGACAGTGTACGTGTCGTGTTGAGCTTTGGTTGGAAATGCAGAAGGCAAGTTTTCGTTGAGTAGAGTAGCTAGCCGTCTCCCTGCTTAGTTTCCTTCCACCTGGTGTTTGCAGCACACCGTCTTCCCGCTGACGATGAAAGGAGTGGACCCGGTGATGGATGTAGTAAGTAAGCTCCAGGGTCCAGGGCTTGGCTACCATAGGCAAGGCCGTGAGTTCCATGCCCAGCCCTGCACCAAAGAAACGGGCTATAAATGTACACATTGCATTCCTCTCTCAGCCTAAGTGTGTGTTCTGGTGTGCTCGTGTAGGTTTTTACGTGCCGTGGCACCTCTGGAGGCCAGAGAACAACTCAAGGGGGTAGGTTCTCTTTCCACCAAGTGAGAGAGAACTCGGGTCTTTGAGCTTGGCGGTAAACATCTTTGCCTGCTGAGCTGTGACCCCAGCTCGAACTTTCTTTTTTTTTAATAGGTCTGGGGTCGTTCAGAGATTCACCACTCTGACCATTAATAACTTTGAACAGGAGGCATTTATTTAGATAATGGCGCCGGCTCTACACCCCGGTACTCGGGAATCCGGAATGCAGCGAGAGCCCAGGCACCTCAGGGTGGCAAAGAGTACAGAGTTACAATTTGTTCTCCTGCAAGCTGAAGGGTCCTCTAGTGCAAAAACAAGCTTGTGTGGAGAAGTAGAAACAGCAGTTAAAAGAAAGAAAAAGAAACTCTTAGCACTTGGAGGTCTAATTTTGCTTTATACTTCTCTTAAGCACAGAGATTTTAATTTGCATTTATTTATTTTTGATTTTTTGAGGCAGGATTTCTCTGTGTGCCTTGTAGACCAGGCTTGCCTGGAACTCAAAGGGACCCACCTGCCTCGGCCTCCCTAGTGCTGGGATTAAAGGCGGGCACCACCCCTCACTCCCCCCCCCCATTTAAAATTTTTAAACATAGCCATCAACATAATGTTAGCCATCACAGAAATTGTATTTGTTTGTTTATTTATTCATTTAATGTGTGTGGGTGTTTGCCTCTTTGTCCTAAGAAGGCATCAGATACTTGGGAGCTGCAGTATGGATGATTGTGAGCCGACCTGTGAGTGCAGGTATCCACTCTCAGAGCTCTGAAAAGACACTAACTGCTGAGCCATCTCTCCAGCCCTGAATTTTTTTCTTTCTTTTAAATGTAAAGACCATATGCAAGAAAATGTCTCCATAACTCTTGTCATCCTACTGAGAACAAATGAATGGTATTAGTTGAAAGGTACACTTGGAGTGGCCTGACAATTCTGCATCACTTGGGCAGTTTCACCCGAATGTGTTTTGGTGTGTGTGTGTGTGTGTGTGTGTGTGTGTGTGTGTGTGTGTGTGTGTGTGTGTGTCTGAGAGAGAGAGAGAGAGAGAGAGAGAGAGAATTTCACTATGTAGCTCTAGCTAGCCTGGAACTTGAAGAAATACACTTTGCCTGTCAAGTGCTAAGATTAAAAGTGTGTTTGTTTGTGCCACCACAACCAGCATATTTATATATCAATAGGTAGGGACTGACATAAGGATTTAACTAATATAATTCATAGTACACTGTGTATTATGCTTATATAGTATGTGGAGAATGAACAAGTGGTGGAAACTGGAAGTTAATTCATGAATTGACTTTGATTATAAAGTGTAGCTATAGTCATGAGAACTAGCCCTTTATGAGTTATGAATCTTGAATTACTTGAAGACTGATGCATTTAAAATTAAACACCTAGTCCTTTTTCAGTGGTGGTATTTAAATCAGAGTTTTTTGCTGACTTAAAAATATGGGAACAATTGGAAGGCTCCCCAAGTTAAGAAGAACACTTGTTGCTCTTCCAGAGGGCCCTGTTTCAGTTCACAGCACCTTCCTGAACAGCTCAAAATTTCCTTTATCTCTGGCCTCTCCCAGGACCTGCACATGCATGGTGCACATAAACTTATGCAAGCACACACATATACATGAATAAAAGAGTTTTAAAAGTAGTACAAAAATCTGGGGCTGCAGTTCAGTGATAGGGTACTTGCATATCCTGCAGTGGCTTTTGGTTCTATCATCAGCTCCTTGGGATAGTGAGAAGTAGTCCTCTGTCCAGTTCAAGACTGGGCACACCTGCCTTTTGTTATAGAGGTGTTGGCTGTGCTTACTTATATGCAATTTATTTAATGTCTTAATAGAAGAAACCAAAATTAGCTATCAAGTCATCCAAAAATGCTACTTTGTTTCAGGACAGAAAGTAAGACCCATTATCAAATAAAAATAGGGTAATCTTTTCTTATTGTTACAATTTAATCATACATTTTCTAAGATGGCTCTATCACTCATGAAAATATATATACACATATATTAGACTTTTCTTAAAGATGAAAGCTACAATTGATGGGTTTATTGAAATAAGTTTCAATTATAGTAAAGAAAGGGAGATATAAATTTGCAAACACTTGTTTGCAAAAATCCAAGCAAGCATAGAGAACTTGCTTTGTAAACATTTCTCATTTTGTTTTTGTGAAAAATAAATTTAACCTGTTTTAAATCAATATCATTTTTGTTTTAGAGTATTGCTTATCTGGGCAAAGCTATTAGTTTATGTTAAATGTTACTGAGAGAACATTTTGATTTTCTTTAAAATTTTCAGTTTGCAATTCAACGTTTGGTGTCTTTTTGTGACGCTAACAGCCAGAGTAGTCAATGAAACACACTCCTTCCTGTCTTTGAAGGCAGAACATTGTTTAGTGTTTATCCCTACAATTTCAGATGTAGCTTTGACTTGTATTTTGTTATTCTTGTTGAAGTTGTGGCCAGCTTGGCTTTGATGAAGAAATTGTGTTGTGTTTGGGATTTTCTGCTTTTGTATGTATGTTTTATTGCTTCTCTCAATGCTTGTGGCTGGTGAAACAGTTACACTGCTCTAAGACAGTCATCATGATTCTAATATATGGTTGATCTTCTCTACCTTCAATACTAAGCAATTTTAGTTCCCTAGCATCCAGGCAATGACATTTTCATTTCTTTTAATTAAAAAAAAAAGTTTTTTTGTTTGTTTTTTAGTTTGTCCTTTTCTCTTGAAGAAAAGTGAAGGAATTCATGTCATTAAAAATGTCATAAATGCATGTTTTTTATTTTTTGTTTTTTCATCCTGAAAAAAAGGAAAAGAAAGGAAGAAAGGGTGGTGATGAGCCAGCACCACTTACGTCATTTAAGTAAAATCCATTTGTTATTCTGAAAACATTTCCTCTTCCCAACAACTATTGCTCCCAACTGTTAACAGACAGTGCAGCATTCTCTCTTTTCCCTCCAAGGTTGGTATTTTATGACTCAAAGAATCAGTCTTTATATCAGTTGTAAGGGTGTCATAAATTTTGGCAGTGGCTTTAAATTAATGAAATAATAGGCCACTGTCTTATATACATACCAAATCCCTGCAGAGCTATAATGTTGAAAAGGGGGTTTTACCCATGATCCACTGTGGATAATCAGACTACATATCTGGAAACAACTTTATTGAGTTGGATTCAGTTTAGATCTTTGTGTACTTTAAAAAGATACAAGTAAATGTTTATAAATGGCAACTAATTTCCCAATATGAACAGAGAGGTCCTATTGTTTCTTATTGTTTAATAAGACATGATATACTCTCTGAGATATTTAGCATCATTTTAAGTTGATAAACAAAAAGGTACAAATAATGTGATAGTTCATTGGTAATCACAGCCAATCAGTGTTCAGATTTCTGCATGTTCTAGTCATCTTTGTAGTTTAACAGATAATAATTCATGGTGACCCACCATTTCTTTTCTTCTTGAGCTTTTTTCTTTATTTTCTCCATTGTTGAAATATTACAGGCATTGTAACACATGCTTGTAACCTCAGTATTGGTAGTCTTGGGCAGGAGGATCATTCTGAATTTGAAACTCATCTCTCCCTCAAACTACTTATTTGATAATGTCATCAAATAATGTTCTCTAGGCTGTAGCCTGAGCAGATTGTGGCTAATGGCATTTATAGACCACTACTTACAGTATCTATCCTTTGCCAGTAGTTGAGATTGTTTCAAGTATGTATTTTGTGTATTTATGCATTGATCTTTTGAGGCATGCCACAGTAATTTTAATTTGTTGTTTATT